GTCGGCGGCAGCGGCCGAGAAAACTGGACATCGCTCAAAGCGGAAAATCAACGTCGGCGACTGCGGCCGGGAAAACGGGACATCGCTTGAAGCGGAAAATCGACATCGGCAGCAGTGGCCGGAAAAACAAGACGTCGCATAAGGCGTAAAATGAACATCGGCATCAGCGGCCGGAAAACCAAGACATCGCTCGAGGCGGAAAATCAACATCGGCGGGAGCGGCCGGGAAAACAGGACATCGCGCGAGGCGGAAAATTGACATTGGCGGCAGCGGCCGGAAAAGGGACATCGCACTGGGCGGAAATTCAACATCGGCGGCAACGGCCGGAAAAACAGGACATCGCTCGAGGCAGAAAATGAACGTCGGCGTCAGTGGCCGGGAAAAAGCATCGGCGGCAGCGGCCGGAAAAAATAGCGGTAAAACAACATCGGCGATAGCGGCCGGAAAAACAAGACGTCGCTCGAAGCGGAAAATCATCATCGGCGGCAGTTGCCGGAAAAACTAGACATCGCTCAGAGCGGAAAATTGACATCGGCGGCAGTGGCCGGTAAAAAGGGTCATCGCTCTGGGCGGTAAAAGCAGCATCGGCTATTGCCGGTAAAAAGGGTCATCGCACTGGGCGGTAAAAGCAGCATCGGCATCGAAAGCCGGGAAACAGCATCGGCGGCAATGGCCGGGAAAACAAGGAGTTCGTGTGAAAAAAGCAACATGCACTGGGGGCTGTCTGCGTGGGAAGCATTGGCATGGGAGGCCGATGAAAAGGAGGGCTGCCAAAAACTGTAATTACGCGCCGTTAAGAGATTGCAACTATTTGCGAAACACGGATCGAAAGGCCTGGAAATTTGACCGTTTGTTTAACAGTGGCGCGGGTCATGCGTGGGCCGAGGGGGAGACGACGGCAGGAGCCGTGCGTCGGCAGAGGGGAAGTTGGCCACGAGTCACGCGCGGGTGGAGGGGAAGGCGACGGCGGGGGCCGTGCATCGGCAGAGGGGAAGTCAGCCACGAGTCATGCGTGGGTGGAGGGGAAGGCGACGGCGGGAGCCGTGCGGAGGGGCAAGGAAAGGCAGGTAGATTGACAAAATTAAAGGTGTAAATAGGATGCCCATTGAATGAGGCTAGGAGGGCAACGCGGAACGAGTTCCAAAAGCGACCGCCAGAGGGTGCCAATGACAAGGGCAAGGACTTCAACGCATGGGGTAGCGACGCGGTGCGGTGGTGCGTGGGGCGCCGAGTGGCAGGCCACCCTTCGTACGCAGGCGTATGAAGGGAAAAGAAGGGAAGGCGGCAAAAAAGGGTGGTGCGGAACTGTTTTCGCGAAATAGGGCTCTAGTAAGATAGAGGTTTAGGCTCAGTAGTTGGAGTTGCCACTGTTGCAGGGAAAGCAAGACGCATGACACAGGGCGCGTGATCGCTGCCGGATATATGGGAGTCAATGCGAGCGTCTGTTAAATGGGAAGCCAGATTAGTGGGAATAAGAATGTAATCAAGTCGAATGCCGATATTGTCATGGGTGTGACGAGGGTGGAAGCCCCAAAAGGAGTAGCGCACTTCATGCGGGTGCAAAAAACGAAACGTGTCAACAAAACCCAAAGACAACAGTCCGGCGAAAAGCGTTCGCTCGGTTTTTGTGCCGCTGGCAGGGGAAAGAGCAAATTCACGTGGGTGGATATCCATGGCCGTATGGGACACATTGATATCTCCACAAATAATGACAGGCAAGGAGGACTCTTGAAGGGTCACAATAAAGGAGTTGAACTGAAGGAACCAATCACATTTTTTGGGCAAATTTTGGAGGGAAAACCCAGAATATGGGCTATAAACACATGCAATGATAAAGTGTTCGAAGTACAAAGTAAGTACTCGTGCTTCCTTTGTTGATTCACCGTGAAAGCCGGTTATAACATGCGTTGGAACACGGCGGGACAGAATAGAAACACCGGCATAGCCACGATTCTCACTAGTAGCTGAAAAGCAGAAATAGCCTTTGTCAGAGAAATAATCTGAGATCACTGAAGGAGTGCATTTAGTCTCTTGAAGGCAAATTATGTCAAAATTGTTACTGAGCAAATATTCAGCACTAGTTTTGCGGCAGAACGCTCGAAAACCATTAATGTTCCAAGATGCCAGGTGCAATGAATCAACATTTTGAGAGAGAGCGGCAAGGCAAGGAAGAGGCAGTTCAAGGTGGGCAGGACGCTTGTAATATGGCTTCAGATGTTGGCAATGGTACTTCATGTTTTTAAAGCGATTATTGTAAGGAACTCGAACAAGATAGGAGGACACACCAGTTTTTTTAACAATTTTTGCGGGGCCAACATATTTGTAAAGAAACTTTTTATTTCGCTTTGTTATTTTGCGTAAAGCGTAAACCTTCTGACCAACTTCAAAGGTAATATGGCGGCGTCGTGCGTCAAAATATTGCTTTTGCTTGATTTGGGCTTGTTTCAAATGCTTTTGAGCATTCGTGCGCAAAGCGAAGTGTTGCAACAGTTTTTTAGGCGGTGTGATGTGTTTGGGAAGGCACACTCCCAACAAATTAACAGGAGTCAAAGCAGTGAAGCCATATAAGAGAGTAAAAGGATCGATGTTCAGACTGAAATTTTTACTCGTGTTTGCAGCAAAACAAGCGGCAGGGACAAGGTCCACCCAATTGTCAAGGGACTGATTGCAAAACTTTGTGATTAAATTTGCGACAAACTTTATTGCGGCTTCAGCGGCACCACTCGTGCTATGGTAGCCGACGGGACTGAAAACGACGCGTGAGCCCAAAGAGCGTAGCGTTTGCCTGAATAAATGGGATGTCAGATTACTGCCGTAATCTGTGAGACAGACTTTAAATACCCCGAAAGTAAGAACATATTCTTTCAAAGCGGTGCAAAGTTCCTCAGCTTGAAGAGTTTTGAGAGGATAACATTTAACAAAGCGAGTGAAATTGTCAACAAAGAAAACCAAATATTTATAACCTTGCTTTGAAAGTGGCATATATTTTATATCCACTGAAACCAATTCCATGGGGTATTTTGCAACTATTGGGGTTAGAACTCCACTAGAAAAAGTGGGTGTCTTAAAGCGTTGGCAAACATCACAAGACTTGACATAATCTGCGATGGATTGTGATTTATTTGGCCAATAATAAATACTCAGTCGAGCCATAACTTTCCCCTCTCCCAAATGGCCGGCAAGCAAAGAAGAGTGAGATTCATGCAAAAGGAGAGGGCGTAAAGATTCAGGCACGTACACTTGGGGAGGGTTTGAGTTGGTGCAAACTGCCCCTTTGTGCAATTGAAATTTATTATGAATGGGATTTTTATGCAGCGTTTGTTTGAGAGCTGAAATTGTAGCATCCTTGTCTTGTTCCCCAATTAAGTATGGAATACCAAAAAGGTCCAATAAATCAGCCTCATTAGTACAAGGTGGTGAGGGAAACATGAAGGAAAGTGGTTTTTCAGAATTGGCAAGAGGCTGGGGAGCATCAGAGATAGGTGCTTTCAGCGGAGAAGAAGGTTCGCCAGTGAGGGGCTCGTTGGGCGACTCGGAAGGCGGAGCAGGGCGCCTGGGACGCAAATTATAACGGTCGCCGGCAGATGGGGACGGCGAACGGCTGCATGTTGGTTTATCAGTGGCAAGTGGGGATTGAGGCCGAGAGCGAAGGTTGTAACGATGTGTATTAATGGCAGACAAAATCCCATCGTCACCAAGCAAAGGGCAAGGCCCATGAAGAGAAGAAGGTGGTATATCAGGATCCGGGCAGCGAGAAAGCCCGCGTGGAAGGATCTGTAGTTTAGGCTACACTGGAAAAATATAATTTTTTTTGTAATTGTCTATTTAGATTTAAAAAAGAGATTTCTGTACTTTAAATACAATTAAACTGTTAATTGAGTGCATAAAAATGTAGTCAAAGTAAAGATAAAGTATAGAAAACTATAGTTAAACTGTATAAAAACTACCAGTTATTTCGGACAACTATAGTTTTTGACCCCAGTTTGTCCCACTTGACTATATAGGTCAAAGTACAGTTTTACTGTAGTTTATTTACACAGGTAGACTTGGTTTTAAAAAGAAAAGAGACTGCAGTTTGAAATTTGCGGTCAAAATTCAAAAATAGTAATTTTTGAGCCCTGTTTTGAGGAAACTCTTCCTCCCTCCCACCCCATGGGTAACTGAAGTTGTGTTGATTGTGTTTCTTGGGTGAATGTTGCCGGGAGTTGAACCTCGTACACTTCAGTTGCGAAGCAGAGGCCTTGACCACTGCTCCACTGAGCTTCCATGTGGGACAGGGCTTGGCCACTCGACCACATGGAAAGGCCTGCTATCCCCAGGAACTAGAGTGCAACTGCAAGAAAAATACAGTTTTACTGTAAACTGCTCTGTACTATAAGTAAATTTTGCAAATCCAAGAAGTAATTTGTATTAAGTTTGCCTTTGAAACAAAGAGACCATGAAGTGATTTAATTTAGAGTGCCTTTTCAGTCTTATTTTTCAACGACAGGAGTCGTTACCTTTTTAACTTCTGAGACGTTCTGGATCAAGACGCTTCCTAATTTTTGTTGCGTTTAACATTCAAACACCTGGTTATAATGAGTTTGATGCTTCTTAACTAGAACTTGTTTGTCGTCTTTGTCAAACTAGTGACACATTGTGGTTTGTTGATTTCCACGATTCCTTGTCACATAATACCTGACCAATATGGAACGTTATAAAATAATCAAACAGATTACCAGATGGTGTTTTAAAGATTTGGTTACATTCAGTCATGTGTTTTTGTTTTCGCTTTTTTTTTAAATTTTAGTTTAGTCGTGTCTTCTAAAAGTCTCCAATGTCCAGTATTTCAACGTAAACTGTTGGTCTGCGCACTTATAACTTCCTAGGCTCATACATTATAGAGACTAAAATCAACCTTTATAGCTTGAAAATTTTTAAAAGAAATTACTAAAATTTCTAAAAAATATATCTATTCCCATCCTTATATTCTATATTTTAGTTACATTTTATAATTGTTTCTGTGTCTTCATATCGAATTGCAGTGCTTGACTTATCTTTAAACCATGCCTGAAATGCAAAATTACTGCAAATTGTAGTAAACATTCAACTTGCTTGTCATTGTGTATAAAAATGTGACCAGAAACTACATTTGCTTTGTGGATTGTGCTGAAGATACAAGTGTAGGCAGATCTTCAGTAGTAGACTACAGAATTAAAGAATTAATAACTTCCCTTTAAAGTACAGACCGTACTCAATACCTAGTTAACAAATAACAGTTCAGATAGAGTGCAGTTTTAAAGCACAGCAACCTTCAGTTCCAGGAGCAAACTGTACAACTGTACAACTGTACAAGTTCTGAAGTTTGTTCTTACAAAAAACTGCAGTCAGCAACTGCAGTTTTGGCACTGTAGTTTAAACTGTAGTTTCACTACAGATCCTTCCACGCGGGAGAGGATCAGCTGTGTTCTGAGAACCTGCTCGATATGTGAACTTCGATATATCGAATTGTGACAAGCAATCAATGAATCGAGCGAGGCGACTGCCGGGAGATTTCATTTGAAGAATGTTTAGTACTCCTGTGGCGTCAGTAATCACTTCAAACGTGGTTTGCAACAATTCTGTGCGAAAATAAAGACATGTTTCGGAAATGGCCAAAAGCTCAAGATGGACTGGGGGCCAGCGAGACTCGACGGGCGTTGTGAGGCGGCTGAAAAACCCGTAATTGTGCCATTTTTGATCGGTGGAAGAACATTGTTGCAATTCACCACCCCACGCCGATTAGACTGGCATCAGTGCAAATCCGTGTAGGGAGAGATGGATCAAAATGAGGCAAAAAGGATTGCTTAATCTCCTCATAAATTTCAGAAACAACAGCGTCGTGTTGTGGCGTCCATTCAAATGTGGCCTTAGAGCCAAGAACAGAGCTAATAATTTTCGTTCGTTGGGCAAAGGAACGAACGGTACGGCGGTGATGGGAAAGAACACCATACACTCGGCGGCCGTCAGATTTTGTTTTAACCTGGAGCAAAGTTTCCAAGGGTTTAAAGCGGGAAACATCGGGACGAGTTCCGGTAGTGGAAACATATTGGCCCAAAATGCTCAATTCAGGGTAAAACCATTTGCATTTCTTTGGATTGAGCTTTAGTTTGGCGTGGCGGAGCCGTTGGAAAACTTCAACTTGCAATTCGAAAGCCTTTTCGAAAGAAGTTTCGCCAAAAAACAAATCATCAACGAAAGAAAACAAACGAATGCCCATCATTCCTTCAAAACATTGATTTAGGCAGTGGGAGAAAAGTTGAATGGAACACCTGGCTCCTTGAGGTAAACGGCAGAGAGTGTACTGAACATTATTCAGCGTAAAAGCGGTTAACTTTTGGCTGGCCGGGCAAAGTTGGATCTGAAAGAATCCATTCGAAAGATCCATCTTTACGTAATGAGATTTAAAGGCAAGTTTTGAGAGCAACTCACGAGTGGATGGAAGGGCGTGATTAACTCGGCGCAAAACGGAATCGTTTATGGCGCGCATAGAAAGCAAGAAACGATAACTCACAGGGTCCCCTGGATTTTCCGTCTTTTTCTCAATCAGATGAATGGGACTGTTAAAAATACTGGTGGCCTTTTTAGCAATATTTGCGGCGACCAATTCGTCCACGTATTTCTGGGCATATTCCAATTGTTTTGGGGACAGGGGATACTGAGGGGAATATGTGACAACGTGGTTTGGTCGTAAAGGCAAAGTTGCCTCGTAAATGCAAGGCTCCTTAATATGAGAAATATCGACAGCAAACGTGTCTTCATATTCCGTCAGCAATTGCAAAACACGATCATGCTCTGAAGGAGATAAAGCTGGGTTGATATCGAAATATGAAGAGATAGGTTTGGATGGTTTGGAAGCAAGAGATGGGAGCTTGATTTCAGCATGATTTAATGGCATATCGTCCTGATCAGCACACATTGAAGAAACAAAAGAGGAGCAAGAATCGGGTTGTAAGAGAAAAGAGGCGATTTTTGACATAGAAGTTAATATTTTTCCAATTAATTGATCTGGAGTGAGAATTACGGGTGAGTCCGTATTATTTAAAATTTTAAGAGAGTAGCATGCAGGTTCCAAAATAAAATCCACATTTGTTGCAATGATGGTTTGAGCGAAACGTTCATTAAAAGCAAAGACGGAGGGGACATCAAGGGGGAGTGGATGGAGAATAATTGGAACGTTTGTGAATTGATTTGAGGGCAAAGTGACTTGCTTTGAAGTAAAAACTTTGCGGTCACCAGAGAAAATTTCTTCGGGTGAAATATTGTTAATATCAGTAACAATATTGGCAAGAGATAAAGGCGTGGTATAAGCAGAGTCTCGAAAATGAAATTTTCGGACTTTATTATTTAAAGACATGGTAAAAGTGTCTTGTTTGTAGGACATGACGGCTGAGACTTGGTAAAGGAAAGATAGGCCCAAAATCATTGGGTGCGATAATTCGTCACAAACGAAAAAGTTGTGAGGAATTAATAAGTCGTCACATTTCAGCGTCACAGAAAACAGTCCCTTTATTGTGACTGGCGTGCCTGCTGCAGTGCGAAGGCAAGGAGTACGAGCCGATTTGTCAACTGAGCCTGCGTCAAGGAGACTAGAATTACAAAGGCTGTACGTGGAACCACCGTCAAGCAAAGCAAGGGCGTTGGTGGTACCAAATTGCACTGGTAAGTACCATTGAGAACGCGGTGGAAGATTTAACTGCAATGCATAAGCCGATGCGGGCGGAAGCAGAGAATTTGGGTGCAATTCCGTAGAAGGCAAAGGCAAAGAGGGGTCTGCAACGTCATTATTGAATTGTGGGTGCCACGCGTGGCGTTTGCGTTGCGGCAGGCCAGAGAGGTCAAGAGTATTGGGTCGCTTCACACGTGTAGACGTGTCTGAACAAGGAGGGGGAGTCGAGGCCACGACATCAATTAGGGACGAGTCGTGTGGCATACTAATAGGGACAAACGGTGGTGTGGGCGAGAAAAGAGGCTCAGGTAAGGAAAGCCGAGGCGGCGGCGAAGTGTGGCCAACGGCGGGAGCAGCGTGCAAATCAAAATTGGAACTAAAAGGCTCATCGGCAGAGATTTGCGGGAAATCAGGCGGTGGATTTGCCTCGGCGACCTCGGAGGGAGCAGCGATAATAGCCGCGTTGTCACGCAGAGGGGAATGGGTGGGGGTATCAGAAAGAGGTGAGCTGGCCGGAAAAAATTCAACCAAATTATCATCGCGGAAACGAAGTGTTTTCGCGGGACGGAACAGAGCCTCGCTTGGTGAAATTTCGAAATTCATGTGATATCTAGGGTGAAACATTTCGTAATGTCCGGCGTCATAGGGACCCATAAATTTTAAATAAATAATGCGAGTTGAGTGCGGGGCGTCGTATTTACGGACGCCGTCAGGAGTGTGAATGACAATACGGAGGCCAAGAAAATGAGCAATTGCTTTTACTTCGCACTCTTCAGCAAAAACGCCGTCCTTGGACATATATGTCCGGTACAAGTCAGGGTCGCGAACTGGGCGGCCAGAAAGAAATGCAAAATCAGAAAAATCGGACCAATTGTCAAAAATGAAATCAACTGTAAGTTTGCGTAAAATAGAAGCATGCGAAAAAGTGCCAAAGACGGCGAGGCTTACGCTGGAAAAGAAACAATTTCCATCAAGGGGGCAAGGAATTGTGCGTATTTCGGAATACTCCAAATGGTCAGATGGAAAAAAAGAAGGAGAATCTGACGGAACTTCAGCAACAACGCAGACATGTCCTAATGTCCATGCCTGCGAGCTTTCTAGTTTTTTTGGTTCGAACGAAGATTTCCAGCAATGGGGCAAGAAGATTCACTGTGATTTAAATCACAAATTCGGCAGCGTATGTCATGCAGGGGAGGTAAATTAGAAGTATCGGAGCGGTGCACATCGGCTTCCGCATATTCACTGGGAGGAGCACGGGAACGATAACTAGGGTTCGTTTGGGTAGTTCTGCGATTGGAAGGAGGGCCACGAGAATAATTATTATAATTATCAAGAACCTATAAAGCCCCAATCCGACTGACTCACTGACTCACTGACTCACTGACTCACTCACTCACTCATAGAAATGTTTGGGGTGAAGGAGTGGTCGTAGAGACTTGCGGTTTTTTCCATTCGATTCCAAATTTTATGGGAAAATTGGGAAAAATCCCGAAAGTTGAAAATTCCTCACCGTTTCCGAGAAAACCTTCTTTATCTACAAAAAAGGGGAACAAATTTCTCACCGTTTCCGAGCAAACCTACTCAATCTTCAAAAAAGGGGACCGACCGACTAAAAATTTTTATTCGCCCCATCGGTAGGTCTGGTCGAGACATTTCCGAAACTGTGCCGCAATCGGGTCCCCGTCACCGGCAACATCCTCAAAAACGATTAAATAGGCCCAAATTCGACAAAATCCACTCAATCTTCAAAAAAGGGGACCGACCGACTAAAAATTTTTATTCGCCCCATCGGTAGGTCTGGTCGAGACATTTCCGAAACTGTGCCGCAATCGGGTCCCCGTCACCGGCAACATCCTCAAAAACGATTAAATAGGCCTAAATTCGACAAAATCCACTCAATCTTCAAAAAGGGGACCGACCGACTAAAAATTTTTATTCGCCCCATCGGTAGGTCTGGTCGAGACATTTCCGAAACTGTGCCGCAATCGGGTCCCCGTCACCGGCAACATCCTCAAAAACGATTAAATAGGCCTAAATTCGACAAAATCCACTCAATCTTCAAAAAGGGGACCGACCGACTAAAAATTTTTATTCGCCCCATCGGTAGGTCTGGTCGAGACATTTCCGAAACTGTGCCGCAATCGGGTCCCCGTCACCGGCAACGCCCTCAAAACGATTAAATAGGCCTAAATTTAACAAAATCCACTCAATCTTCAAAAAAGGGGACCGACCGACTGAAAATTTTTATTCACCCTATCGGTAGGTCTGGTCGAGTCATTTCCAAAACTGTGCCGCAATCGGGTCCCCGTCACCGGCAACACCCTCAAAACGATTAAATAGGCCTAAATTCAACAAAACCCACTCAATCTTCGAAAAAGGGGACCGACCGACTAAAAATTTTTATTCGCCCTATCGGTAGGTCTGGTCTCGACATTTCCAAAACTGTGCCGCAATCTGGTCCCCGTCACCGGCAACGCCCTCAAAACGATTAAATAGGCCTAAATTTAACAAAATCCACTCAATCTTCAAAAAAGGGGACCGACCGACTGAAAATTTTTATTTGCCCTATCGGTAGGTCTGGTCGAGACATTTCCGAAACTGTGCCGCAATCGGGTCCCCGTCACCGGCAACATCCTCAAAAACGATTAAATAGGCCCAAATTCGACAAAATCCACTCAATCTTCAAAAAGGGGACCGACCGACTAAAAATTTTATTCGCCCCATCGGTAGGTCTGGTCGAGACATTTCCGAAACTGTGCCGCAATCGGGTCCCCGTCACCGGCAACATCCTCAAAAACGATTAAATAGGCCTAAATTCGACAAAATCCACTCAATCTTCAAAAAGGGGACCGACCGACTAAAAATTTTTATTCGCCCCATCGGTAGGTCTGGTCGAGACATTTCCGAAACTGTGCCGCAATCGGGTCCCCGTCACCGGCAACATCCTCAAAAACGATTAAATAGGCCTAAATTCGACAAAATCCACTCAATCTTCAAAAAAGGGGACCGACCGACTAAAATTTTTTATTCGCCCCATCGGTAGGTCTGGTCGAGACATTTCCGAAACTGTGCCGCAATCGGGTCCCCGTCACCGGCAACGCCCTCAAAACGATTAAATAGGCCTAAATTTAACAAAATCCACTCAATCTTCAAAAAAGGGGACCGACCGACTGAAAATTTTTATTCACCCTATCGGTAGGTCTGGTCGAGTCATTTCCAAAACTGTGCCGCAATCGGGTCCCCGTCACCGGCAACACCCTCAAAACGATTAAATAGGCCTAAATTCAACAAAACCCACTCAATCTTCGAAAAAGGGGACCGACCGACTAAAAATTTTTATTCGCCCTATCGGTAGGTCTGGTCTCGACATTTCCAAAACTGTGCCGCAATCTGGTCCCCGTCACCGGCAACGCCCTCAAAACGATTAAATAGGCCTAAATTTAACAAAATCCACTCAATCTTCAAAAAAGGGGACCGACCGACTGAAAATTTTTATTTGCCCTATCGGTAGGTCTGGTCGAGACATTTCCGAAACTGTGCCGCAATCGGGTCCCCGTCACCGGCAACACCCTCAAAACGATTAAATAGGCCTAAATTCAACAAAACCCACTCCATCTTCGAAAAAGGGGACCGACCGACTAAAAATTTTTATTCGCCCTATCGGTAGGTCTGGTCTTGACATTTCCAAAACTGTGCCGGAATCTGGTCCCCGTCACCGACAACATCCTGAAAACGATATAAAAATATCAAAATAGGCCTAAATTCAATAAAATCCACTCAATCTTCAAAAAAGGGGACCGACCGACTGAAAATTTTTATTCGCCCTATCGGTAGGTCTGGTCGAGACATTTCCGAAACTGTGCCGCAATCGGGTCCCCGTCACCGGCAACACCCTCAAAACGATTAAATAGGCCTAAATTCAACAAAATCCACTCAATCTTCATAAAAGGGGACCGACCGACTGAAAATTTTTATTTGCCCTATCGGTAGGTCTGGTCAAGACATTTCCGAAACTATGCCGCTATCTGGTCCCCGTCACCGGCAACACCCTTAAAACGATATAAAAGTTGGCCTAATTTTAACAAAATCCACTCAATCTTCAAAAAAGGGGACCGACTGACTCAAAATTTTTATTCGCCCCATCGGTAGGTCTGGACGAGACATTTCCAAAACTGTGCCGCAATCGGGTCCCCGTCACCGGCAACATCCTCAAAACGATAAAATAGGCCTAAATTTAACAAAATCCACTCAATCTTCAAAAATAGGGTCCGACCGACTAAAAATTTTTATTCGCCCCATCGGTAGATCTGGTCGAGACATTTCCGAAACTATGCCGCTATCAGGCCCCGTCACCGGCAACGTCCTCGAAGTCATCAATCAAGAACCTATAAAGCCCCAATCCGACTGACTCACTCACTGACTCACTCACTCACTCATAGAAATGTTTAGGGTCAAGGGGTGGTCGTAGAGACTTGCGTTTTTTTCCATTCACCTCTATCCTTGTCAAAGCAGTCTTCAATATTTTCCGGACCTTGTATGCACCCATTGACTGCCACAGTAGCGAATGCAATACAAGCTATCTATTTGGGCAGTAAAAGTAGCTTATTATATGGTCTAAAGCTGTTAAATAGGCCTTTCATAGAAGCAGTACATTTACTTCCTTAGAAAATTAGCCTTTGGTCACCACGGACTTACTGAAAATACTTCGGCACGCGCCCCACACATGCGGGGGTCTGGGGGCGGAGCCCCCAGCGAGCAGCGCGAGTTGCTTCTATAGATGCTTGGATCTCCATTGGTGGAGGAATAGCGAGGCGATGGCCTGTTATCATAATCGCGGCGGTAAGACCTGCGATCATTCCGGTAGTCAGAATTCATCGGTCGATTATCGGAAAACCGTGGGGATGGGCCTCGGGAAAACCCTTCTTCACGGTTAAAAGAGCGGGGAGGACGAAAGTCAGGGCGGCGTTCGTCGTAGTTACGACGGGGTGGACGAAAATCCGAGCGGCGATCATCGTAATCGCGGCGGGAAGGGCGAGAATCGGAGCGACGATCGCCGCAGTCTCGACGATAAGACTGGTCACGGCGGTCGTTCCGAGGAGAACGCTGGGGTGATTGATAGGGGCTAAAGTTGCCTCTGCGGGCGGCAGAGTTAAGGGGAGCGTCGCTGGAGACAGCGGAAACAGTGGCAGGCTTGTTTTGAATTATTAAATTTTGCAATTTATTAATTAAGTTATCGATAGGGATGCAAAATTACCGGTAATTTTCAAAATTACGTAAAAAACGGTAAATTACCGTAAATTACCGGTAATTTTGGTAAAAAACGGTAAAATTCGTTTCATTTAAATGGTGTGCTATATTTTAATGATTTTGTTGAAACTAAGTAGTAAGCATGGTTTTTTTTGGGTCAGAAATGATTAAATCTATTGAGAAGTTCAAAAGAAACATTTCCCAAAGGGGAAAAAAATACGTTTTCAAGAAATCCTAGGAGTCACGAAGTCAATTTGATTATTGTGTAAGAGGGGTGGAGACAGAAAAGAAGGGGGTTTATGAAGTTGCGGCTCAGGGGACTACCAATGGCAGTGGTACCAATGTGGTCGATGTGCCACCCGTCGAAATTTAAACTTGACAAAATAGAAATCAAAACGCTGGTAAATTCAAAAAATTCCAATGCTAATGTATCCCAGTGTTCTGACAATGGAACATCTTTAAAGTCCATCATTATTAAAATGTTCTTCGCAGAAAGAAGGCAGTGAATTAATTTTCACGGGTTGGCAACTAGTTTCTCGGCGTCTGCGCCCTTGCGAAAATCGCGAAGCTGAAAGCACCAGCAGTCGCGCATTAAAACTGCCCATCCATTGTTGCTGACGTTGTATTGTTTGGCTTGTTTCAAAAGGCTATGGTTCTCTAGTCATGTTTTCTTCAATTCTGTGTAATAGTTCTCCCTTACAACGTATCAACACCACGACGATTGGTTTGACAAACTTCATAAACTCGGGAGGGATGGTTTCGAAACGCGGGTGAGTCTTGTTCGAGGAACATGAGCACTGCAAGTCGCGAGGTGGAGCGAAGTGGTCCTAGTGCTAACTGAATCACAACAACAAAAAAATTGTTTTATTGACAAAAAAAAAAGGAATATTTGAGAAACTATATGCCAAAAAAAAAGAACTTTTGTTTTGCTAATTTTCTGTGAATATTTTTTTAGAAAGTCATCACACAAAAATTGAAAATTTGTTTTATATGAATTTTCATAAGCAGGAAACATAGAAAAAACAAGAAAGAGAGCATAATTAATACAGGTTTCAAATGCTACAGTTGGTTAAACTGTTAACAGGTTGCAAACCTACTGCGCATGTCCAAAAACACTCCAAACAAGAAGTATTATTGGATAGTTCTACCCGAAAAACTGCGTTCGAACCGACACCAATTCTATTGTTGCATCTTGTCTACCTGCAGTCAAAGAAATTTTTCATTTCGAACGTGCTGATTTCAGCTTTTTGGGGTAAGCTGTACAGACCCAAAAAGAAGCTCGGCTATTGGTCCGCCCCGGCTCGGCTCCCCCCACTCCCTTTTTTTTTTCCCTTTTACGAGTCGAGTTTTGCCATGGAAACGGCGATTTTGACAGCAAATTTCTCAAAATTGGCCACCAACTTTTTAACCAGATTTCGGCATCAGAATCAGCGTTCAAAGTTCTACAAGTCTGCAAACTCTCATTAAGGGGGGGAGACTCGTCTTTAACACAAAAAAATTTAAAAAATTTCAGGCTTAAATAAAAAAAGTTTCCAATAGATTTGAAGGTTAGTGGGGTTTTCCAATAAAAAGCTGGTTCTTTAATCTTGATTTTGAAAAAAAAAATTTGTCTCTAGGGCCCCATGACCTAGAATCTGTGATCTTTCTACTAAAACACTAAAATGTGCCAAAAATTTACTGCGCGCATGATTTTTTGGGGAATGCGGCATCATATCATAAATGTCTTTGTTCCTCCCTCAAGAAGACTCCTGGCACTCTAGATTGAACTAGAATGATTGAAATACCTCGTTCCTAAGTGCCTGAAATTTACATTTTTAAGTGTATTAAAAAAAGCCTTTAAATTTAGACATTTCAATAATTTTTATCGGGCACTTCTACTGGGCCGATTGAAGATATCCTAGTTCAGAGTGACGGTCTTATAGAGGCCAAACATAGGAAAAATTATTGGGTCGAAACAATCAACGGTCTGGCTCAAATCGTGCGCGCAAGACCCAAAATATTGCAATTGAGTAAAATGGCTTCAAAGTTCGAACGGTCTAACCTATCCTGTGGAAAAATAATTACAAAATGTCACCCTATGGCCAAACGGTTTTGAAATTCAATACCAGCCAGCCACCAATTTCAAGGGTTTTAAAACAAAGAATTCAAAAAACTGAAAAACGAAAATCTGATTTTTTGACGTAGAATGACGAGTCTCCCCCCTTAAAATCGTATAGAAAATTTCCGAAATGCATAAAGGGCCACACAAATTGAATCTCGGGCCGGCTGAATCCTGGGTATACTATAAGGCTACTTCGTGCCTAAAAAATCACCAACGTCCCTAACTAAAGGGATATTTCGCGGCCCCTTGGTATAGGGACGGTCCTCATGAAATGGCCAGTCCCTATGGATAGGGACAGTTCCCTTGTCAAAGGGCCGCGAAATATCCCTTCGAGTAAGGGACATGCCGCGGAGTGTTCAAGTGTTCAAAACATTTACCTCTTGAAGATCAATGTACAATATAAGAAACGCTTTGTTGAGTGAACTTTTGACGCTGATCAAATGGTAGTGTCGCCGACACTACGTATCTACAGACGTTTGCAAGATACCTTTAATAGGTGTGTAGCAGGTTTGCTTACCTAAATGCGTCACCTAAGTGCGTCACCCTTTTCAGAAAATGTACTTGAGCGTTTCTAAATAAGCGTTTTATCATTAATATGGGGAATTGAAAGTGTATTTTGCAAAATACCGATAAAATTCGAATTTTACCGTTAATTACCGATTTTTCGGCTCTTCGGTAAATTACGGTTATTTACCGTAATTTACCGTAAGTTTACCGGGTAATTTACCGCCTTCGCATCCCTAGTTATCGATAACAAGGGAAGCCGTGGCGGGGTTTTGTTCAGCTTTAGGTGGAACTGGGGCTGTAACGGCCTCTTGCTTAACAATACTGGGTGGTTTGAAAATATTTGGCAAATCAGAAACAAATGGAGAAGCAGTGGTTGAATTATAACAACTTTCCATTGCCTTAAGAGAACGAGTGCGCATGGACGCGCGATGGATTTGATCTATGCGCTGTACTCGTTCCAGAAAGTTTGCCAGCGTAAGGTCGTCGGGTTTCAGGACCAAAGCAATGGCGTAAGGCAAGCCCTTGTGCAAATGTTTCAGAATTTCGGCTTGCTCAACAATACCAGCGCGACGACAAAGACTGAGAACGTTTTCCATGTATGTTTGAAACGATTCAGAGTCCAATTTGCATCTAGATTGAAGCTGTTCGCGATAAAGTTCTGTATCGCGATTTACAGCAAAAGTTTCAATTAATTTATCACGTATATGGTTATATCTTTGCAAAGGTGTTCGGTCGTCATTTGCACCCGGTGCACGGGGGTTTTGTTCGAGCCACTGCAATTCGGCATGGAAAAGAGAAAGGGCAGGGCCGCGGCACTGGTTTTCCAAATGGACTAAATAATGAGCTGGCGTCATATCATCGTAACAATCGAAAATACGATTCAAACGGGCGAAAAACAAATTTATGTCTTCTTCCGGGTCAGAACCACTGAAAACCGGAAGGACAGGATTAATAGTAAAATGAGCCATGGTAGGGCGACGCAATAAAGCTTGAGGAGGTGGTGGGATATCAAAAATTCGGTTTTCGTAATCTACTTGGCAATGTGGAACGTGCTCGAACGCCGCACGGACAGCAGCGGACGCCTGAGCGGCTGGGAGGTTGCGGAGAGCAGTTAAAAAATTGTAAGTTTGCGTAAGAGGAAACCGCAAAATATCAGTATTTGGATGGGGCTCAGCACGGACGAAGAAAAAGTTAACGTCGTGTCGAATTCGCTGAGCAGGGACTGCTGCCTGGAATAATTGGATAGCGTGCTCCTGACGAGCGACGCGGGGATTTTCTCCCGAAAAAGCGGTATACAAAGGAAGGTAATTTCGAAAAAGTTGGATCGAAAATGCAGTGCAGAGGCGACCTGAAAGGACGTCTTTAGTACTAAGTACAAAGTAAGGGAGATCAACGTTATCACAACTATTTAGAAAATTTGTTAATAGGTTAAAGGTTGCGACGTCCATAAAGAAATAAATTTAAAAGCCATAAAAAAATTTAGAAAAAAAAAATTTTTACACTCGAGAACCACAAACCTTTTGAGGAGAGAGAACAGGTATCGGAACCACGTTATGCTCGGGTTGATATTGAGTTCGATGTGAACTTGGTGTGTTCGACTCTCTAGTTCTCTCTTGGGTTTGTCAAGGGTAAAGGCACCCTGTGTGGTCTCAGGAGTGAAGGGTTAATCAGAGGCTGTTGGTTGTTAATATATTTATTTGGTCTAGTTGGTCATAATTTTGATACTCGCACCAGACAGGATTCTCTGGCTTGCTCACCCAAGTACAGATTACAAGTAGCGGTTTGCTAAGTATAGCACGATGCCGAACTATTTTAAGTCCGTTAACACTGGACGATGGCGAAAACACAAGTCCCGTATGGTAATTACCCTTGGTGTGCTGGCTGCGAGCAGGAGGGCCGAAAGGGAAGAGGTGTTGAGCCGGTCAAGCAGTGAAACTCTTCTGACCGACTCGTCGCGCTGTCCGAGGCGACGAAGCCTCGGCGCGACTAATTAATTCCCCCTTCTATTCGGCCAAGCTGACTTGCGCCAATCACAATGCAAGTCGTCATCGGCACCCAATGGGGATCACCCACAACTACGCATTTCGGGTGACCAACAGTGGGGGTACCTCTGACTCATTTAACTTAATCCTAACGCCTGGGAGAAATAATGAAGGTTGTGGCTGTTAATTTTGATGCCACTCCCCACTGCGCATCGAAGGAAGGTGTTTACCGCACCCGGGGATACAGTGGAGACTGTGCCTCAAGGAACGGAGTTCGCTGTACCCTGGGAACCCGCATCCACTACTCTACAAATCACACTGTAATTCAGACGGTGAGACATCTCACCAATTTTCGGCGATACAAAATGTATCACCGAAAAACAGGTCGTACACGAATGTATCACCGATAAAATGGTCGTACACGCATGTATCACAGAAAAAAGGGTCGTACACAAATGTATCACCGTAAAAAAGGTGAGACTCCAGCGAGATTGGCCCTTGTTTTCCTGGGGAAGTATCACCCTTTTTTTGGTGATTCATTTGTGTACGACCATTTTTTCGGTGATACATTCGTGACTTTTTTTCGGTGATACATGCGTGTACGACCATTTTTTCGGTGATACATTGTAGTATCACCTTTTTTTCGGTGAGACAGTTCTGTCTCACCCCTCAGAGAGTGAGATGTATCACTATTTGATTTTCAGTGATAAAGAGTGTACATAGTATGCTCTAACTGGAGCATGCCTGCAAGCACGCTCTAGCTAGCGCATGCCTGCCAAGCATGCACTAACTAGTGCATACATGCCATGTACACGCTTCCTGATGCAGAAAACTTCCTATCCCTTATGCAGTAAATGTATGCTTCAGTTAGCGTGTACTACCTGGCATGTATGCACTAGTTAGTGCATGCTTGGCAGGCATGCGCTAGCTAGAGCGTGCTTGCAGGCATGCTCCAGTTAGAGCATACCATGTACACTCTTTGATTTGTAGAGTACACCCTGGAAACTGTCCATACACTGCATGCAGTATCTAACAGCAAAACAAATGCAAAATTTCAAAATCGCAATTGAACGATTTGATGCCGGCAATGAATTTATCTCAACAACACGAACGAAAAATGATGAGTATGTGAGAGGCTCAGACTTTAAATTCAACATAAAATCGGCGTCAAAAACACCTTTTTCTGGTTTCGGCGGTAAACACCTTCTTTCGGTGCACAATGGAAAGTGGCACCAGAATCAACAGCCTCAACCTTAATTATTTCTCCCAGTGAAGGGACCTGCACTTAGTGCACTCTTAAAACTCTCCAATAAAATTTCACCCGGAGTGTTTGCCCTAGGAGTGCATTCTGTGACTAGAACAATGAGATTCCAATCGCTATGAGTAAAGCACGTACGCTGCAATGCTCTGAGATATTGCGCAATATGTGCAATGGCTCAGCCGTATTGCACCTTACGTGCAATGCATCCCGAAAATGCCCTATGCTACACTCTACCAAAAATGTCCTGTCAATGCCGTTAATTTATTACCAGTTTTCACTGTAGGTCAATTCTCAGCGTTTACTATGATCTGCTCACGGGATTCACTGTGATTTTGTTCACGGTGTTCACTGTGATCTGGTCCACAGTAAACACTGTGAGTTTGACGCCGCTGAGCACCGAAGTGCTGCAAATCAGGTTCCAACTCACGGCGTTTACTGGGGGCAGATCACAGTGAACACTGTAACGGATCACAGTGAACGCCGTGAACTAGTTCACAGCAAACGCCGTGAATTGCATAACAGCAAACATTGGTCATAAATTAACGGCGTTGACAGGACATTTTTTGTAGAGTGTAATGCATACACTGAGAATCTAAACGCGATGAGTATAGCGTCAATTGGTGCGATGCAAAAGCATTGCACATGAAGTGCGATGCCTCCCCATTCCCATGCATTAGCATAGGGCACTTTCGAAATGCATCGCACGTAAGGTGCGATATGGCTATCACATTGCACGTATGGTGCGATATCTCAGCTGCATCGCACCATACGTGCTATACTCATCGCGTTTAGAATCTCAGTGTAGGGGTGGGAAGGTATTGCACTTCATGTGCCATGCTTTTGCATTGCACGAACTGACGCTATATTCATGGCGTTTGGATTCTCAGTCAACGCTTCGGCGAGATGGTGACCGCGATGCTGACAGTGTGCCTGCCACAGCATGACGGTGGAGCGCGACGAGAGCTCCGGCGGACGCAGCATCCTGGTGGAGCCCCTGAAGGACGCGCGGGGCCGCGCCGTGGACGAGGCGGACGCAGAGGCACGCGGCCTCCGCCGCACCAAATGGCGGCTCGGCGTCCGGCCCAGGGCGGGGTGCGGACATGAGGTGGACCTCAGCGAGTGGCGCCTCATCGACACCAAGGAGGTGCCTCTCCACGTCAAGACGCCCACCGCGGACACCATCCTGGCTGTCTCGGACTCAGTGTCTTTCGACTGGCTCAAGGTTAGTGTGAATGTTGCCGTGTGGTTTCCACTCTTTCCACACTGGACTGGGGTAATACGACAGGCTGGCCACTTGTCAGGGAAAGGTTTCCTTTCTCCTCAAGTGTTGTCCTAGTGGAAATATCCCCCTCTTCAGCTTCCTTGTTACTCGACTTTGTAGTCTGTAATATGACGCCCATATTACTGAAAAGAGAATTAACTAATTATGTGGTTTGTCAGTCAGAGCAACAAGGGTGGACTCGCTTGCGTGTTAATTTGCTTGTTTTAGTTCATCTATTTAACAGTGTGTAAGGGTATTGGAATTTTACGGCAGAATTTTCGTACTACATTCTTCTTCTCCGTTGATTCCAATTCTCTGCTGCCTGCAGGAGAGCGTGGAGCGGGAGCTCGGCATTCCGTGCGGTGAGCAGCGGCTGCGCGCGTCTGACGGCTCCTGCCCCTCGAAGCTGGCCGACGTTCTGGGGAGGCGCTTCCTCTCGCTGCTTGTCTGCGGGAAGCAGCGCGTGGGGACCAACCTCTGGTTCTGGGTGCAGCACAGTGCGGGCAAGGAGTTCGTGGAGGCGCTGTCCACTGACACTGTGGGCAGCGTGCTGGCCAGAGTTCAGCAGCACGGCAGCGAGCTGGACGGCCTGCATCTAGACGATGTCGCACTGAGAACCAGCCGCACACTCGCTGAGTACAACGTGGCGTGTCTGGACACCCTGGAGCTGCGGGAGCACGGGTCGGTGCGAGTGACCGTCGCCGTGGAGTACGAGGACGCCGCCGCTGGCCCCAAGACTCTGGTGGTGGGCGTCAACCCGGAGGACACCGTCGCCGAGCTGCAGAGGCGGGTCGCCCTGAAGGCGGTCGCCGAACCGGTGGCGCCGCCGCCTGGATTACGACGGTGGCGTGGAGCTGCGCCTCGGGGGGTGCCGCTCGCCGGCTACCGCACTGTGGAGGACAGCGGCCTGACTGCGGCCACGGCGCACCGACCCGTGCGCTGCTTGTAAGTACCTCACTCGAGTTTTCAGCTTGCAGAGGTGCGTGAATGTTGATCAGGATTTCAGACAGGTTTGTCTGACGTTCTGACAAAATTCACAGCCGAGAGAATCTTGTTCACTTGTTTATAAGAATTTGTTTGTGTGTGCAGGATTCCGTCATACGAACACAAGATGAAGATCAAAATCCGCACTATGACCGGCAAGGTGCTCACAGTGCCGTGCCAAACCCCAAATTTTTCGATAGAGGTTAGTATCGAGTAGCGTTAGCCCCTTGTCTTTGGGGCTGGATGAAACTCATGACGACATGATTTATCCCCCTCCTCTCCCCCAATGGCAGATCGTATAAGAATTACATGCGCCGGTTGAGCTTCGCCACCTTATCGAGGGTCCTTATAGAATAATGCTGACCGTAAGAGCAGATCAAGGACAATCCTAACTCTCAGAGCAGATCCGAGACAATCCTAACTGTTTGTGTCAATTCAAAACTATCCTTACTGCATAAGACGTGAAAAGCGGTGTTTTCTTTAAGTCCGTGACACCAACATACTTCTCAAAATTACTCACCACAGGGCTTGTTACAAAGTTTCGTCTTTTTATAAATACGTGGACATTCAAAGATATCCAGATTCACTTGATTTGCAGTGAAAGATAGTTCAAGAACACTTTCAGGTACCTCTGAAGTTAGGATAGTTCTAAATCTGCACTGACAGTTAAGGATTGTTTTGGATCTGCTCTTACAGTTAGCATTATTCTACTAGGGTGCGTCAATGTTTTTCACAAACTTTTCCTTATACTCTGGCGCGGTAATTACCTATAATAATGTCGTTACAGATGATCAAGCAGATGATCTTGGACTTGGAGGGTATTCCGCTCGACCAGCAGAGACTCATTCTCGCCAGGAGGCAGCTGGAGGACGGTCGTACCCTTGGCGGGAGGCAGCTAGAGGACGGTCGTACCCTCGCCGACTACAACATCCAGAGGGACGACGTACTTCATCTAGTTCTGCGTCTCCGCGGCGGCGGCGGCGGCCCCGACCTCATCGACGCTCTGCAGGTCGTCGAAGAAGCCGCCCCCGAGGGACCTCAACTCATCGCCGCCCCAGCCGCCGGTGCGTCCGCCCCCGCGTCGACCCTGACAGTGGGCAAGATCCGGTCTGGGGAAGTGGTCCCCCCTCAACGCACCAGAGCCTGCGAGTTCCAGGTGGAATTCAGCAGGGAATGCCCTTGGCTGCAATTTGACGTTTTCGTCCAGTGATTCCGTGCTATTTTCCGTTGTGTTCCTGGACGCTTTTATTAAAGCGTTGGTGAAGGGTATTTGGGTCTGTCATTTTGCGGTTTTCAATTCACATCCTTGAGTGTATCCGTCTAATTGTAGTGTTTGAGCAAGAGAATTTAATGTGTGAAATGTATGCTTATTATATTTAAGTTACAGAAATGTTCGGATGTCGTTCAGACTTAATTTGTAAGTGTGTTCAAGCTCAGTATTTTGTCCAGTGAATTGCGTTTTCAAATTTTAGTGAATAAATTGTGTAGCCTTTCTAAAACTTTCCTAGTTTATCGCGTTTTTCATTGTTGACTTACATTTACAACATATCCGCATCTCATTTTAACAATACAGCGTCCTCTCGAAGCGTTACAATTCCTGATTTCAACGCTAAAAAGTAAAGTCGTAGGCCTGCACTGAAATCTAACAAGTACCCTACAAGTCAACTCCAGTTTTGGGATAGGCGTGCTCGAGACAACCCTAGATCCACGTTTGACGGCTTTAGCGAACAGCCGCACGTTCCAATGAATGTGACAAAGTCAGACAAAACTCTCATCTCAGTAACACTCCACTCCAAGCTGATTTTTAGGCACGAAGTAGCCTTATAGTATACCGAGGGTTCGGCCGGCGGGAGATTCAATTCGCCTGGCCCTTTATGCATTTTCGAAATTTTCTATAGAATTTTAATGAGATTTTGCAGACTGGTATAACTTTGAACGCTGATTCTGATGTTGAAATATGGTTAAAAAGTTAACGGCCAATTTTGAGAAATTTGCTGTCAAAATCACCGTTTCCATGGCAAAACTCGACTCCTCAAAGGAAAAAAAAGGGAGTGGGGGGAGCCGGACCACTAGCCGAGCTTCTTTTTGGTTCTGTACAGCTTACTTCAAAAGCTGAAAAAGCGCGTTCGAAATGAAAAATCTCTTTCACTGCAGCTAGAGAAGATGCAACAATAGAATTGATGTCGATTCGAACGCAGTTTTTCGGGTAGAACTATCCAATAATACTTCTTGATCGGAGTGTTTTTGGACATGTGCAGTAGGTTTGCAACCTGTTAAACAGCTTAACCAACTGTAGCATTCGAAACCTGTATTCATTTTGCTGTCGTTCTTGTTTTTTCTTTGTTTACTGCTTATGAAAGTTCATATAAAGTAAATTTTCAATTTATATCTGATAACTTTTCAAAAAACTATGTACAAAAAGTTAGCAAAACAAATTTTTTTTTTTTTTTACGTAAAGTTTCGCAAATATTACTTTTTTTTCTGTCAATAAAACAATTTTGTTTTTGTTGGATTCAGTTAACACCATGACCACTTCACTCCACCTCGCGACTTTCAGTGCTCATGTTCCTCGAACAAGACTCACCCGCGTTTCGGAACCATCCCTCCCGAGTTTATAAAGTTTGTCAAACCAACCGTCGTGGTGTTGTTACGTTGTGAGTGAGAACTATTACACATATTTGAAGAAAACATGACTAGAGAACCATAGCCTTTTGAAACAAGCCAAACAATTCAACGTCAGCAACAATGGAGGGGCAGTTTTAATGCGCGACGACTGGTGTTTTCAGCTTCGCGATTTTCGCCAGGGCGCAGACGCCGAGAAAATAGGTGCCAAGCCGTGAAAATTAATTTGCTGCCTTTTTTCTGCTACGAACATTTTAATAATGATGGACTTCAAAGATGTTCCATTGTCAGAACACTGCGGAATACATTAGCATTGGAATTTTTCGGATTTACCGGCATTTTGATTTCTATTCATTGTCAAGTTTAAATTTTGACGGGCGGCACATCGACCACATTGGTACCACTGGCAATGGCAGCCACCCCCGAGCCACCCCCTTTTACACAACTACTTTTCTTTCTGCACACTCTGACACAATAATCAAATTGACTTCGTGACTCCTAGGATTTCTTGAAATCGTATTTTTTTTTTCTTTTCGCTGTGTACCGCTGGGTATGCTCCAGCTCCAGTTACCGTGTATTTGCCTTAAATGTACCAGCTGGTGCCGACACTACGTATCTACAGACGTTTGCAAGATACCTTTAATAGGTGTGTAGCAGGTTTGCTTACCTAAATGCGTCACCTAAGTGCGTCACCCTTTTCAGAAAATGTACTTGAGCGTTTCTAAATAAGCGTTTTATCATTAATATGGGGAATTGAAAGTGTATTTTGCAAAATACCGATAAAATTCGAATTTTACCGTTAATTACCGATTTTTCGGCTCTTCGGTAAATTACGGTTATTTACCGTAATTTACCGTAAGTTTACCGGGTAATTTACCGCCTTCGCATCCCTACAGCTGGTGAGTGGTGAGCGGTGTATGCGATATTTGGCGTACATCCAAGTACGCTGCAAATAGTACACGTCATGTTCACACTCCAATTTCTAAGTAATACTCTTGAAAGAAAAAAACAAACTTGAATTATAAGAGAAGCACTGAAGACGATCGACAAATATACCCATTTATTGAACGCTGACCATGACCATGTAAGAAAAAAAGCTCCTCGAAATTACAAATGCCACACCAAGAGTGACTCACATAAAAAAAAGTCAAAGAAGTAAGGGGTTAATGAGCTCCCCGTACAAAAGCAGAATGCCTGATACATTTCCATGACAGCAAAGAAAAACCTCCACCATTATTCTTGTAAGACATTAATAGAGTAACGAACTTAAATTAAATCTACGTTTACTTTGAATGTTGTAGGGAAGGCAACACAAGTGGCAAAGCTCAACAAAAACCGTGGAACTCCTCGACGTGTCTGTCCAGATTCTTGCTCTTCAAAAGCTGCGCTGAGCACTTCTTGCATGAATAATGTCCCTTGCTCCTGGCGTGCTTCGCCATGTGGCGCGAGGCTTCATCGGCAGAATACAGAATGGTCAGACACAGATGGCACACTTCTTGACTTCGTGAACAACCTTTCCTGACGTGGGTCGCTTTGAAGTGGTCGACGCAGTCCTCCCAGCTACGGAACACCGATTGGCAACCCTTGGCGGTGCACCGGCCCACGACGCGGGTCGCACGCGCGGCCGGCACCTTCTGCGCCGCAGTGGCCGTGCAGTTGCCTCTGCTGCAGAGGTTAAAAATTGTTAGAAAGTGACAAATAAGTGATTTTTCCTTTTCTGGAAGAATGCACTACAAACCCATCTGTCTATTTGGTACACACTTAAATGCATGCTCGCAAGTACACACTTACGCATGCTTACAACTTTATCGGGAACAGTGCACAGCATGCGTTTGTAAGTGCGTACTAGGCCAAGTATGCGTTTGGAAGTGTGTACTTGCAAGCAGGCATATGTAATTATGTACTAAGTAGACTGTTGGGTTTGCACTGTAGTGACACAAAAGTGAATCTTCAACGAGGGGTGAATCACTAGTGTACTTATGTGTACAAAATTGCCCGTACTCATGTACTCACAAGTTTTAAAAAGGTGAAATTCTCTAGTTTTTTGACCGATTTAACGTCGAATGCCGTTAAAAACGCTAAATAAAGCCTTAAAACGTTTTAAATTTTGAAATTTATGAGTAAAGCAAGGTGTTCTCACCCGTACTGATGTACTCATGTGTACACCAGAACCGAGGGGGTATGCGCTCTCTGAACCTGTGTACCGACTATTACGCTATTACGCTCTATTACGCCACAAATTAATCGGAATTTAGCTAAAAACGGCCTAAAACACACCAAAATTGATAAAATTTTGACAATTTTGGCTATTACGCGACTATTACGCGTATTATTACGCGTGCTATTACAGATAGAGAGAACCGACTATTACGCGAGTGCATACCCCCTCGACCAGAACCATGAGTGATTCACCCCTCGATCTTCAAAGAGAGCACAGTTCAAAAAATTGTTGTAGATTCACAACACTTCTGTTGTTAAGTTTGAAAGCAACACATCTCATTATATAACAAACACGTTTCAGCCCTCGGTGCTGTTTTCTGATGAATCGATTGCAGTACGAAAAGACTTTCGTCAAGTCCTTAATTCTATTCGAACCACATTTTTGTTGGGCACATTGTGTAGTAATTAAACAAGATTACAGTACAATAATCTTGTTAAACGACACCACAACTCTCTTTAATTACAATGACATTTTTGTTACCTGACGAGATAGATGTACTACACTGTCAGAAAGCTCCGTAAAAATACGGAAATTTAACCGAGACTGTCCATTTTTTTAAACGGAGATCTCCGTTTTCTTGAATTTATGGATTTTCTCCGTAAAAATACGGAAGTTTTGTATATAAATGAAATAGAAGCCTTACATATCAAAACGAAAAGACTAATTCATGTTATCGATGGGTCGCGTGAGCAACTGATTGGGCGTTCTAAGAGTGCGCCTTCCCTAAAGCGACCTCGCCTTCGGGTTTCCGTCCAATTGTCCGATCAAAATGGCATGTGATTAAGTGGATCTTCAAACAGTTTTGGAGAATATCACTTTCGTCTAAAAGGGCACTGTTTGTATTAACAAGTGATGGGACTTGTTGCCCATGAACGGTACAATTTTAAGCACCTAATGGTGACACAATTTTGTGATCATCAGGTCATACAAATTGTATAATGAAATGAAATAGGAAATTGCAATGGGCGTGGCACAATTTGCATCACGTGGTGGTCACAAAATTCTATCGGCGACGGATGTGCTTAAAATTGCATCATTTATGAGACAAAAAAAGTCCCGTAACATTTAGTGTGCACAGCACAGGGCGGGCCGTGACGCGCCATGTTTGCATGTTGCAAACGTTATCAGGCAAAAGTTACCTGGGCGTTGAGTTTGAGGCTGGATCCAAGGCGTGAACCGATGCGGGAACGAAGGCCGGCAGATTGCCGTCCCTCGTGACGTGGTGGAAGTCCCTCTTGTGGCGCATCAGGCTGGCAGCGCCAATGAAGCGGGCGGTGCACAGCGAGCACTGCTCCTCCCCGCGGCTGTGCGCCTCCAAGTGGACCAGCAGTCCGCCGGCCGGGTACACGTCCAGGCACGTGACGCACACACTAAATAGCTATGAACATTTATTTGATCACAGGATCATGAACAATTCAGATGTCCATACCAGGCTCTGAACAATTATTGTGAATGCTTATGCACTATTTTGCTCGTAATTGGACGCAAAAATTCCTCGTGGACGAAGTCCTTGTTACCTTGCGTGGGCCACGATTTT